AAGGATCCATGTACCCAAATAGTAGATACTTTGGCCTTAAAGTAGTCCCTATTTGGGTACCTTGGGGCCAAAGCATCTACTATTTGGGTACATGGACCCTTAGGGTAAAGTATAGCACCAATCATTCTAAATCCATGTTCCAACTGTCTGGCGTTGACTATAAAGGAGAGAGGCGTTGTGGGTTTCAGGGTTCATGGGGATTCGGTTCTAGTGCTCTGGCAGAGATTGCCCGAGGAGAGCAGTACGACTTTCACTCGTTCAGACTCGCTCTTCCCGCTACCAGCCCGAAACGCAACACCACATTCAATCCTTGCACGATTCTGATGATGGGAGAAGTATACAGAATCTATACATCGTGCCCATTCAGTGTTTGAGCGAGATTTCCCGACAAGCTGTGTTGTTAGTTGAAAAACTGACCCAGCACAGACAAATACATTGCGATGCGTCTGTGGCTTGCCCTCATTCGCCTGCATGTCACGAAACAAGCCCCAAACCCCAAACCCCAAGATCCTGAAACCCTCAACCTTAACCCGAAAACTCCTAAAAACCCAAAACCATCAACCCCTCAACACTCACCCAACTCCTCATAAACCCTAAGCCCTAAACCCGAAATTGCAAAAAACCCTGAAAACTCAGCTCTGAAGATGCCTGGTCTTGTGATAGCCGTGCTCCGACTTACGGTTTAGGGTTTAGGGTTTAGGGTTTAGGGTTTAGGGTTATTGCTTTTAAGGTTTAAGAGTTTAGGAGTTTAGGGTTTAGGGTTGTTGGGTTTGGTTTCGGAGTGTTAGGGTTTAGGGCTGATAGGGCTTAACTGGTTTAGGGTCTAGTGCGTATCTAGGGCTTACGGGGTTCAGGGTTTACGGTTTAGGGCTCATTAGGCTTAGGGTTCAGGGTCCCAGGAATCGTGGGTGAGGCTGCGCACTTCGACCGAGTCAGAATGTATCTTTGGGCACAGGTTTTGCAGCTGTGCTTCGGGCTGTTCACTGTTTAGGATCTAGGGTTTTGGGTTTATAGGGTTCAGGGTGTAGGGTTAGGGTCCGTTCTGTTTTGGGAGGTTAGGGCTTAGAGTTCTTGTTATAGTAGTTCGAGAAAAGCTCGGCCGTCAACAGCCCTGGACCCTTCCTGCAGGGTTCAAGGTCCGGGGTCGAGGCTTCTATGGGATGATCTGTTTATGGGGTTTGGGGTTTAGGGCTTAGGGATTCAGGGTTTTAGGATTTAGGGCTTAGGGATTTAAGGATTTAGGGTTTA